CTAGGCTCCCAAAATTGTCCTCTGTGTTCATATAATACTCACAGCATCCCTAAGAGATACATATCCTATTAACATTATTGAGATAAGGCAATTGGGTGTCTAAGTCACCCCCCAAAAATCCCAACCCCCAAACCAAACAAACCCGTAACTCATAGCAACCCTACAGGACAGGGTAGAACTGCCGGAGTGAATTTCTGAGACTATAACTCTGTACCATCTCATCTTTCTTCCATGGAGTAACTGGTGACCTTGCCCATTGAATAACCACTACACCATCCAGCAGAGAAAATCCATTATACTACTACCGAAAGTCTTCTTTTAAGTGCCAGTCACATGGTGGAAGAGAACGGTCCACTCTATTGTCTCTTCCATGCCAGAACTGTGCTTCAGATTATAGGATGTATCAGCCTATTTACTTTCTTGTTTATTTTCATCTGGATGCACTCCTATCTCTCTTGAACATACTGATGCTCAGAAATAAGCACAATGCGCTAGATTAGATTACTTGATAGCTAATGTTTCTAGCATCAAAGTCTTCGGGGGTCTAAGATGGAGTCATGTTTACTTGGGCAATAAAGTTGGACTTAGAAGTCCTATGGAAGTGCATCTTCAACCAGCGTGACTACAGCTCCCCCATGGATCACCCTGCTTGTACCCTGGCCCCTTCAGGTCCATTCTTGAAGCAACAGCCAGAGTGATGGTATGAAAACCTTGATCAGCTCATTCTTCTGCTCGAAGGTCTTTCATGTCTTCCCGTTTTTCTCCACAGCAAAAGCCAAAGTCCTAAATTTTGCTCTAGGATTCCTCTAGCTGGCTCCTGTTCCTTCTCAGACTTCTCCTCCGGCCACTTTTTCCTTCATGCTGGCCATCCAGTCACAACAGCCTTCTGATGTTCTTGAGACCTGCCTACACCCTTCTCACTGGAACAGATAACATATGACTTTCCTTCCTTCCTTTCCTTCCTCCTTCCTTCCTTCCTTCCTTCCTTCCTTCCTTCCTTCCTTCCTTCCTTCCTTCCTTCCTTCCGGCCTCTGTTCTAAAGTCATCTTCTCAGAGAGGCCTCTCT